CCCCCCCCCCCCCCCACGCTTGTCAAATACACATGATTGTGATTTCTTTCGTTTGCAATGGAACGGCAGTGACCGCCGTGTAATATGCATGTCCGTGTTTTTATTTTTGTTGTCGCCCACGTCCGGCGACTGTTGGAGCGAGGCTCCATGTTCACACCGCGTCGAGGTCCTGCTCTTCCTCCCCTCCCCTCGTCATCCTCCTCCGTGTTCTTTGTCGGCTTGATCACCATGTGCTTCCTCCTTCCTTCCCCTCCCGCCGCCTCCTTCTTCTCCTGCTATATCTCGCTTCTCCTTCTCGATGACCCTGTGCTACGGGAGAGTAGGTCGACGGCGAAGAAGAGTGTGGCTGGAGGGCGAAGACACTGATAGGATTGTTATTATTACTAGTAGTATTTTAATGGAGAATCATGGCGAATTGAGTGAGAGAGTGCGGTGAGAAAATACATATTTAGATTTCAATGGCAAGTGCAGGGGAGGAGAGGATGGGGGAGGGGGACGACGAAACGAGGAGAGAGGGATGGGCAGGAGCCTAAGAAAGGGGAGGAAGAGTACATCTTTGAAAAGCGAGAGGACAGTAGATAGTTGTTTCGGAAGTAGTCGTCGATTTGGGTGGGGGCTTGTGCTGCTGGTTGGTGGGTTTGGACATCTCTCGCTGACACGTGGCACCTCACAACCCACTGTGGTGCGTGGTTCTAATGTGTGCACAATTATCCCAGTTAGCCCCAACCAGTTGTCTGATGAGGAGCAGCATTACTCGTCGTCTCCGACAGACCGATCGTCGTATTCGCCCTCCTGAACTCCTCCTCCCCATTCTACCTGCTCCGATTCCCCTTCCGTAGAAGCTCCTCCTCCCCCTCCCCTCCGTCCCCCCTCTCCCCTTTCTCCGCCGCAGCGCTTTGGAATGCTCGTCCTCCCCTCCTTCCTCTTCTCCCCGTCCGCCCTCTCCCCTCTTCTCTTGTGCTCAGATCTTCGCCATCCTCCTTCGTGGACATTCTCTGGGGTTCTTTTCCTCGTGCTCCTCTCGCCGATATCCAGGCTCCTTCTCCCGCTTCCTCCTCTCCGCCCACCTCTCCTCCCCCCTCCACCTTCTTCAAGTTGTTGTCGTCGTCTCCTCCTCGATGGTCTTGTATCTAGAAGTGATACCAGGTTGATGAGGAAGAAGAGCGGACGGAGTGGCATCGTGATGATGACGATGATTGATGGAATATTATGATGGAGCTTAATAACTAACCGCGTAAGGTGATAGTGGGATGAGACACGTACGGCAGACAAGAGCAGATGAGATCGGAGATATGGAGGAGAGGGAAAAATGTCGAGACGCCCCACACCAGCGGAGGTGTGTGGCTCGCTGGCAGTGCCATGGACTCTGACGACGTCACAGTCCATGGGATAATCAACAGCTGCACAGATCCTTGGGACTGTCTATCCTCCTACTTGACGTCTCTCCTGCCTCCTCCGCCCCCTCGACCTCCTCCACCTCCTCCACCTCCTCCACCTCCTCCACCTCCTCGACCTCCTCCACCTCCTCCAGCGCCTCCACCTCCGGTTCGTCCACCACCTTCTCCACCTCCTCCGCCTCCTCCCCTCTGTCCACTTGTCCTTTGTCGGCTTCTTCTCTTCATTCTATGGGTAAGTTCCTCCTGCGTGTGCCGTCTTCCTCCTCATGTCCACCTCTGTCTCCTCCTAATGACTTCGTCGCGCATGTGCTCATGATGTCATTGCAATTTGCTTCTTCTTCTTCTTCTTCTTCTTCTTCTTCTTCTTCTTCTTCTTCACATCGAAGGACGCAACGAGAAGGTCACGCACACCCCGCAGCCATCCCAACGAGGTTCCCATGTCAGCCAACCCCTTCCCCAGAAGCTCAACTGCTTTGAGATTAAAGTTAGACATACGGGGTAACCTAAACAACAGGCAATTCAAAGCCTGAGCAATCCGTGACGAAGCCGACCGAGTGGGCTCCGAACAAGTGGGCGAGATGGGCCTTCATCTCATGAGATGTTTGTGTTTTGGTAACACAAAAGCTCAATGACATCCTATCGTACCCTTAGCATCCCACGTACCCACCCTATGTAGCTTCCAAACCAAAAAAACATCCTGATTTGTTATTGCTTTGCAATGTTTGTATTTGTTCATTTGTTTGTAGCCTTACGAAACCCCCCCCGTGATTCAATCTCATACTTTCACTGACAAAAGCAAATACGATTATATATATCGTCACATGGATATCAGAGCGCAAAAGCGAAAAAAACAAACAAAGGAAACAAAATGATATCAATTCATTTTTTTTCTTCTTCCTTACAACTCCCCCTGTTCACAACCTCTTGCGTACAAGGCCGCCCACGACCCCACGTGGATGTAGGTTGAGCGGCGGCTGTCCCCACCCCGGTGTGTCATATCGACCCACTTGCACACTGTCAAGAGGCAAAGAGGCAAAGAAAAGAGGAAGGGAACAACCAAACATTATAGAACAGGGGGCAAACAAATCCTGGATGACAAGTCCCACATGCAAGCACCGCCCCCACATCATAGGCCAAACGACTGGACAAACCAGCCAGGATTCAAAACACGATAAAGCCTTCGGTGAAGAAGAGCCTACTAATACAACAATACATCCCAAGACAAAACCAGAACCCGGATGATTAGTCTCACATGAAAGCACCGCTATATATATGACGATATTTATATATATATAAATATATTTTCCGAAAGCAATAGCTGCTCACCGGAAACTCGTACTACGAACAACACCTCCCCCTCCCCCTCCCTCCCAGCCCCCATCGGAATTCCACATCACCCCGTAGGTACTACGCCGCGTCAGACTATTTAGATATGTACTGCACGAAGTTCCACGCGATTAAAACCGGGAAAATTCTCTTCCTCTCCCTGTCGTGATATCGCCCATCGTACACCTGTTCTTCCCGCGTACCCCTCCATCCCCCCCTATTGCCACCCTCAATTCCTCCTTACGATCCGCCATCGCAAAGCTAATAATCCGGAATCTCTCTGATCACTCCACATAGCAAGCGCGGCTCAAAGGGAGCCTGAATGACCGCATTCCAACATGTGGTGTCCACAATAAAATTCCGATGCTCAGCCGCGATCACTGTAACAAGCGCTTCCAATATCCGAGATAGAACATATGTAGCTCCCTCTGGCCGAAGAATTGGCAACCCTTCGCCAAATCGCTCCAACACAAACTGAAGGGATGCCAGTGAGCATCGCATATAACTGAATGCTGCCCCGATCCGGAAAACCATATGCCCATTTAAATTCACATCATACGTACGGGTGGCATTGTGACCTTCTGCAGCCTCACTCCAATGCTCCCGACCTATAGGCTCATCGCGAAGATGCTTGCGCTCAAAGATCATTACCGTTTTGCCACGTACCAAGCCATGGAAAACCGGATAAAACTCCATCTCAAAACGAAGACAATGCACGACCTCAGAACCTCACAAATATAAAACTCCCGTACACACAGTGTCACACACAATCACCGCAAATCTTAACCCCACTCTTGAGAGAAGCCACTTGACAATAAAACCTCCTCTGAATCCCGAACGCAGTTCTCTCCCTCTCGCCACGCAAAGCTTTGACGTTGCCCTAGTATACTCTCTGCCTTCCTATCCCGTCTCTCCGCTGCAGTGCCACAACTATAGTCCCCCCAAAAAACCCACCTCCAATGATCACAACGATACTTCTACAATGAGCACAACAACACGTTCCCCCCTTCCTCCTTCACTCCCCCCTTATCTCACGTTCGATTCGACCCACAGCCGCCACAATCACATAAAGTACACAGCTCCTCTGTGGCCGCCAATCCTCCACTACCCTATGCTATGATCATACATACAGGTAGCGATCATTCTAGCTCCTACTGCCCATCCAGTAATAGCACTACGACCCGACGATCGCATCCTCTACCTCCTTTATACACTCCCTCGCCATCCTTAGGAGAACACTCTACTGATTTAACTCACCCACAACTAACACTACGCTCGCCACATAATTATAAGACTAAATGCGAAAGTATATCCCTATATAAAATACACTAAAATAGCTTTGGTTTAGTAAAGCAACGGAAAAAAACATACCTACCACACCTACATGTCACGTGCACTCAAAACTAAACAAACGCCATGATAAGGCCCCGCTCACCAACACGACCCCTAAATCTTCGCCGCATTCCTCGACATGGAACGACGACAATCCTATGATCTAACCCTCCAGAAACTGATTGCTCCAGACAGAGACCACCTACGCTTTTGTACTATCAAATTTCCGATTGTATACTTCTAGATTTACAGCGTATGCTTGAGCGGAAATAAATAATAAACAAATAAAAATAAAAATAAAAATTTAAAATATTTTAGATTTTTCTGTATTGTGGAAAGTTAGTGTGACGCTAATTTGTAATGCCTCATTCTGTACATATTATTATTGTATAAATATATCTTCATAAACCTTTACTTAAAGGTAGAAAAAAAATTTAATTAAAAAATATATATATAAAAATAAAAATAAAAATTAAGAGATAAAAAGTAAATCGAAGTAATTAAAACAATAATAAAATAAATAAAATAAAAAATAGAAAAAAAAAAAAAACATTTTTTTGAACTGGACATGCTCCAATCTATTCGTGGGGAGCAACACGTGCTGGGAACCGGGTCCAGCGTCCCATTCAAAAACATATTGAAGAAATTTGCAGAAACCTTTAAGATACCAGGGTCATTCCCTGGCTTCGGCTAAAGATGAAAACAATGCAACCTACACACTGAAAGCCATCTATAAGCACGACAAGACTCAAAAGCATGGAACAGATCCTAGATCTCTGATGCCAATCAGGATAAAACTCTTGGAATAGCCTACCGCTGAGGTCCTGCGAATAGGTGAAACCTACTCAATCCACCTACAACCACCGCTAGTATGGCTAAAATCAGAGAGGTGTACCTCGCCCCCGTTTGAACTCTATGGGGAAAAGGTTGTGCTCTACGAAAGGGAGTCATGAACTGTTGGAATACAGACCCCCGTTCGAATCCGGATGGACCCAGATGATCAGAAAAGGAAAACTTCTGAGGCAACGGGTCCAAACCGAAACTGGATCATCTGATTGTGTCTGGATTCGAACTTGGGGTCTGTACTACTAGGGGGGCCTGACAAAATTTTTATTTTTCTGATCATATGATTGCGTTCATGGGGGTACCAACTGGGCTTAGGGGCTCGCTACAAAAAAAATGGCAATGCATCTTTCCATATTCTGGCGGAGGACTCAGTCTCATTTTGCATCTTCGGAGAGTAGTGGAGCGAGGCCCTTAGGCCCGTTGATCCAGTTCCGGTTTAGGCCAGGGTTGGCCAGGGTTGGTTTTGACTCCTGACAGCGCTGGCGGATTACGATCATCTGGACCAGGTTCGTTGCCAGGTCCTAGTTCGGCCAGCGTCGGTGAACTACCGGTAGGTCTGTCTTCGACGTCCCTTAGCATAGCAAGGGGACACAAAACAACGTATCGTGATGGTCTGTGTTTGCCTCACTGTACCAGTGGAAACACAGACTTAGGCCGTACTCACACGAACTATCCGTGTTGTTCATGAGGTNGTATCGTGATGGTCTGTGTTTGCCTCACTGTACCAGTGGAAACACAGACTTAGGCCGTACTCACACGAACTATCCGTGTTGTTCATGAGGTCCTCGGGGCTACTCATTTGGCAAGAATCCGTGCTTGCCAAAAACAAAAAGAGGCAGGCGACCAACATCCATTTGTCATGCAGTAGAGGTGTCCTCAGAGCAGACAGACTTAGGGGCAAGGAGCGGAGGGGGCAAGTGACACCAAGATCTACTGCAGGTGAGAGTGGAGCCGGCGAGGGAGGCGGTGAGGAGCAGCGTTACCAAAGAATCCATACTTGCCAAAAACAAAAAGAAAAGTGTCACAAACAGGAAAGCAGGTCTTAAAAAAAAAAAAAAAAAAAAAAAAAAAAAAAAAAAAAAAAAAAAAAAAAAAAAAAAAAAAAAAAAAAAAAAAAAAACTCTCCTTTTTTTTTTTTTTTTTTTTTTTTTTTTTGAAAAAGATATTGGACTGATTTGAACATATAATATAGTTGATGATCAGAACATACAATACACTTGATTTTAGTCAGAGGCCGAGAAAGGTAGAGGTTGACTATTTTCCTCTTTTTTTTTTTTTTTTTGCTACTAATCTTCTATTTTTGTTGGCCTCTTGTATCCTCTTCTGTCAATGTTCCACTGTAGTTACTTTGCAGCTTTTAGAATTCGCTATTAAGATGTTTGTGATCTTATTTTATGAAAGTATCTTCTCAATAATTTTGTTGTTCGTTTCAAGTTTTTTTTTTTTTTTTTCAAAAACTCGTCTGTGGACTGTGATGATATTTTATCGACCCGATTAAGTGCTTTACAACTCGCAATTCATGATAAGTAATTAACAATTGCATAACAGTGTGTAAAATAAAAAAAGCGTCTGAAAGTCTCAATAATTCCTCGCATTGTTACTTCGTTATGATTCCTCCCGGCATGCTAGAATAATAATATAAACATGGGATAATTTGGGAAATATCCCTTTAAGTTCATATGTATGCCAAAAAATGCCGCTGAAAAGATGTGGGTTTAAGAGGAGAATCCCTCTCTGACTGAAAAAGATATTTTGTAAAAATACCCCTATGGTCGTTGGGCCCCCGATCTTACAATACCGGGTATCATCTAACTTTGTGAACTGCCCCGGTACTGTTAACTTCCCAAGACCCAATTGGTAAAGTCCTCAGGCTCAAACGGCGAGTTTTGGAAATTTGTCACAAAGATTTCTGCCCCAAAGGGCAATATGAGCACTTGCAAATTTGTGCAGCACACACTTTGCTTTCACTAGTGGGAGGACCCTACTGCAATAACCCATTCCATATGTCTCGTAGAAATCTGAGGGCCGACCTGGCCGCCCTCAGCCAGGCCAAAAACGAGGTAAGGAACCCCACACATGGATTCAGGGCCTGGGCGCGCCACAGTTGACTTTTGTCAACTGTCGCGACCCCAACAGTCAAAGTTCAAAAGTACCCAGTCCAGGCCACCGGTCAAGCACACACACTTGTTTGTATGCAGGTACTCAGCATCAAGTCCAAGGGGGAATTCTGCAACTGTACAAGTCACGCCTTCGGCTGTGACTGACCAACGTTTCCTGCTCCTCCCCATTCCCCCATTCCTCCCCCTTCCCCCTTTTCCATACCACACTCGCTCGAGGCCCACACCAGCTGCATACCCCTGTTCCGTATTACTAGGGTCTATGACCAACCCTGATACATAACGAAATTCGTCATCTTGTTAGCAGTACATGTGAAGTATGTCTTGCAAATTATGTCTTCCTCGTGACACCGTGTGCTCTCAATCTCATCATTATATTTACTGTTTCATGGTTGGTTCAAAATTTTGACCATTGCAGGTCACTGAGAAGACAACAAAGAGACTCAAGATAGAAAAAAAAACAAACGAGGTGCTACCAAGACTAAATATTAAGTCTGCAGAGGTCAATAAAGAAAATGACAAAGATGGACCAGTTGATGGACCACATGAACATGAACTCCGTAAAGATGGAGGTGATGAAAATGAACACAGCGGAGATGGACGTGCAGAAGGTGCTCAAGAAAATGACAAAGACAGACCCGTTGATGCACCACATGAATGTGGACTCCATAAAGATGGAGGTGATGAAAATAAACACGATGGAGATGGACCTGGACAAGCTGCTCAAGAACATCTGCACAACGGAGTTTTTGAAATTGACGAGGTATCCCTCTGAACAATGTGCCACACATCCACAGTTGGTGATTCCTACAGATTCTGAAAAAAAAAATATTTTATTGCTCTGTTTCAATGACAATTTCATGTCTTTGTGTTTTGATGTCTTTTCACTGTGTGTTTCTAACTTTATGTGTGATCTACGATAAAAGTGTATGTGCGGTGGGGTTGCTCAGCCACAAGTTTGGGTCTGTGTGCTAACTATGGCCGCGTGTGTCTGCCTATGACTCCAATATGTACGAAGATATCGTAACGCGCAGTGCGCAGGGCTGCAAGTTACATCAGCATATACTCTGGCGTAGTTTTGCACCCAGAGGAGAACTGTAGAATTGGCAGACAATCTGGTTGCATTCCCCGCCAAGTTAGGTATTCAGTTGTATGCGGTGAAGAAGTCACATGGGCATGTTGCTGAATCAAGGTGTCAGTCAAAGTGAGAAAAGAACAATACCATGCAGCATAAGACTAACAATGTACCAATCTGACTCATTGCACTCAGGCACTTGATCCAAACTTCACTCATCACACATTGCTATGGGTCAGGCAACGACTACATGGAAGAATGTTGGCTGGGTGCACACACATGGCAACATAATTGCACGAGGGAAGGATGTTGGCAGGAGAAAGACGAAGGGGAGGAAATAGAAGACAACAGAAGTTGATGTATCTGCTGATCAGTTGTAGCCTCTCTGTATGTGGATAATCTCCGACAAAAGTTTCAAGTGAAACATTGCCCGATCTGTGCGCAACCCAAAAGACGGTAACTAATTATCAAATTCCTTTGTCTCATAGACAACTTGAATTGTCCTCTGATGTCTTCACGTGATGAGCAGCCGTGTGCGCAGTGATGGCACCAATAGGTAAGTCCGTCTAACCTGGCCTCCGGTGTTCCCTACTTTGCTACTCGGTACCACAGATTCTCTAACTCCTTTACCGTTACTCTTGAACCAGCTGCTGAACTGTGTTCCTAAGACACTACGTGCGTGCTTCCTACGTGGCCCAGTTATAAATAGTGTTGGACGCACTGTAGCAGGCCTCGGTGTGTGGGTTGGGCCATGCGATAGGAAGTCCGATTGGTCGTCCAGGTTGCAGGCCCGAAACTCAGTCATGAAGTTCTACTAGTGGACAAAAGTGGCTCAACCTAGAAACCGGTTCATCCTAGATCAAAGGCATCCCTGATCACGGTATACTTGGATCTAAGAAGAAATTATTTGTCTCTCTTAGGTTCATTCTTCATGTTTTAGTATGCTCGGTTCGTCTACCCAATGACATCATGTATGAGGACAACTCAGAGAGAAATGTGCACTTGCATGGCAATGGTAGCAATGATCATGGTAATGTAGTAGTAGTAGGTTGGTAGTAGAGGTACACCTAAACTATATAATATTTTTAAACGTTGGTCAGAATCAATTTTTTTTAATTATATTTATTTCAATGTGGGTACAGGAAAGTCAAGATGCAGGCCTGTGGGAGGAGGTTGTAGCAATTGCATCAGAGGCAGAAAAAGCATTGGAGACATGCTTAAACACTGTGAGTTTTCAGTCCGTGTGCCGAGTTCCAATCCTCTAACTTGTAATTCGAGTCTTGAGTGCCGACATCCCATCACAATCCAGAGTTTCAATTCGAGTGTCGAAGCCTATCATGCCCCTCTGCGCATGACACTGTGTTCATTCCAGAGATGAGCTTCAGGCGCTGTGTGCATCAAATTTTTCAATTTTGAATTTTGTCCACAAATTTGTATATCATATGTTGTAGTTCATTTTGACAGCTGCTGGTGCTATTCTCATCAGGTCACTGGACTATCAACCGTGGTCAGTCCAAACATATCATAAAAACTCAGTTTATATCAGACAGAATGTGCATGGGCAGTTCATAATTGTACAAAATACACTGAAAAGGACCCGAATCACACATCCCGGAACAGACATAAAGTGGACCAATGGTGGTCCTAAGCAGTCTAGAGAACTCCCTTATTTGCCTCAATATTTTTCTTAATTTGTTTTTAATTTGTTTTTATTGAATGTGCATTATTAAAATAGAATTTTATCTTTTCAGAGGTCTCAATGCAAAATGTGTTGTTTTTGGAACTTGGATCTCCTTGCCCACTATGTCATTTTGTTAATTACCTGTCATGTTTGTCAATCTGTGTCGTTGTGTTATTCATAGGGACTTCCAGAAATTTTGAAGAGCTAATGATGCAATTGCTTTTGCTCGAATGCAAATTTCTCCCGATACGTTGATTCTTGCAGTTGAACGAAAACACCCTTTCTCTGGCTTCGAGTACGTAGTACTGGATGTGATGTTCTTTTTGACAAGGTTAGTGTTTCACATACGTTTGTTGATTTATCGTTCAATTAAGTTAGCATTCAATGATAAAAAAGAAACGAAAACTTCAACAACTCAGATGCTGAAAAAAAAACAGCGTCCTCAAGTGTTGTTCCACCTGGTGAAGATGGGTGACAAAAAAAACAGCCTAAGTGGAGTGTGCAGGTTAGAAGTAGAAGTTTTCTCTTCTTTTCTCTATAATAAATTATTCCGAATAATTAGACAAAAAATGAGCAGTTTTTGCCTGATCGGAGCGTGTAGGTTAGAAGTTGGAACTTGTTTTTTTCTCTTCTTTGGAATAACCAGACAATTTTTTTTAACTTCTCGCTGGTTGTTGATTAACTAGTAGGCTCTGCAATTGGGTTCTCATTGGCTGGTGGCCTTTGGATGGGTGGCGTTGTTTGAGTTGGATGTTTTGGAGTGAATTCCGCTGCAAAAGGCTAGGCTACCAACCGGGCGGCCCGGATCACCTAGTTTTCCCTGGCAGTCCAATCGTGTAAGGACCAGGGAAGGTCCCAAAAAAAAAAAACAAAAAAAAAAAAACACTATATTATGCAGAAAAAAAAACTGAACAACTTTTGTCTCAGGGTCACATCGCATCGACATTGATGGTAGCCTAGGTAAAGGAGAATTGTTTGCTTTTTCTGTTGTGTCTTTTTCCTTTTTTTTTTTTGGGGGGGGGGRGGGGAGTTGTTTGATTTAAATGGGTACAATGCAGACCTACGCTACCAGCGTAAACAGGAACCACTTAACGAGTCGAGCAACGAAAAAAAAAAAAACTTTAAAGCAGCTCACCGGACTACTCGTCCAAGCCAGGGACTGAAGCTAGGTAGCGTTGACGAGGTTCTAATTGTCTGATATTTGGAGCTAGAGTTTGAACCCATGCACATATCTTGCTAGCTGCCTCTCTGGTTGTGTGCTTGGCTGGCTGGCTGCCTCCCTGCCTGGGTGCCTACCTCCCTCATGGCGTGTCTGCCTGCCTGCCTGCTCTGCCTGCATGGCTGCACGGTTGCCTGCCTGCCTGCCTAGGTTCTTGCGTGGCTGGCTGGCTGCCTGCCCAAATTCCTACCTGGCTGCCTACCTGGCTGTGTACCTGCCTTACCTGGCTGGCTCGCTGCTTGCCAGCCACTTGCTATCCGTGCAAGAAAAATAGCAGCCTCCCGAGCCTACCTGTCAAAGCCGTGCTTTGAAGCTAGATAGCGTTGGCGAGAGTTAGATTTTTTGATGGTTGTAGCTGGGGTTTGAACTCTCGGACAAATCAGGCTGGCTGGCTGGCTGTTGGGCTGCCTCCCTTGTTGTGTGCTTTGCTACCTGCCTGGTGGCGTGCTGCCTGGTGGCCTGCTGCCCGCCTGCTTGACGGATCAGGTTGGTTGCCTGTCTGTCGGGCTGCCTCCCTTATGTGCTTTGCTACCTGCCTGTCTATCTGGATGGTCTATCTGCCTGGAGGGCAAGCTGCCTCCCTGCTTGGTAGCCTGCATGCCTGGCTGCGTGCCTGTCTGTCGGTTTGTCTGTCGGTTTGTCTGTCTGTCTCCGTCTGTCCATCCGTCTGTCTGTCTCTGTCTGTGTGTATGCATGCCTGGCTGCCTGGCTGTCGGTCTGCCTGTCTCTCTGTGTGTGGTTCTCTCCCTCTGTCTGTCTGTCTGGCACTAACTTTCTATGGCATGCGGGGGAAGTCGTCTGGATCTTGTTGTCTTTTCTTTATTTTAATAGTCAAGTGCACTTACACAAATTTTTTTGTGTACTCTCTCAGGTACATGCAAATGGGTGAACACGAGAGAAACTCTTATGAGTTGATTGACCCTGTAAGTAACAAACCCCCCATGATTCAGAATTCTGCTTTCAACACATTTTTACCCCAAGTTGTTTTGAACCTGTAAAATAATAAACCCACACTGCATAGGTGAATTTTGAAACAAGTGGTTTCTTATAATCACATGTTCATAAATGTTTGATTACATGCTACGTTCAAGCTGGTATTTCTAACTCGTTTTTTTTTTTTTTTTTTCCCGTTATTGTCTTACAACGAACGATGATGTCATCTCTTTTTTGACATGGAGTTTGACACAGAGCTCAATAGAGGCATAGATGGTGATGCCATGGTCGACACTCTCGTTGGTATCATCTCATCCTTAATTCCTACTCAGTTTCCAGGGTTGCACGACCTGGAAGATGCATGGATTTTGGAAACAGATTCTTCAAGGGAGAAAAACTTTTCGAGACACCTTCTTGTCAAGATACCAGGCATGATGTTCGACAATATCACACATGTGAACAAGTTTGTATGTATGGTATGCCAACTATTTCATAGAATTTTTCGACCCAACATCCTTTTTGTACATTGATGTTATGCAATTTACTTAGTCCAGAATCTTCAGATATTATGTTTACATTTGATTTGTGAAGACTCTAACATCACTTTTTCCTTTTGTGAATTTCAGATCGGCAACCACATCATGCGCAATAGGGGAAAGGTCTCGTCATATGACAAATTGTTTGTGGAGAAGAGTCAACGACCGGGACTATTTATAGATTTGGCTGTCTATAAAAGCAAACAATTAATGAGATTGCCTTTCCCTACTAAGCAATGACTCTCCTCGTTCCTCAGGCCCACTGGTCGATTTGGAACTCCCGAGTTTATGGTGAGTTTGTACGGATGAAAGCCAGATCTTATAAAAGGTGCCTCCTTGCTTACAAAACTTGCAGTAACAGAAGATGACTTCTGTCTTGTGACTACTACAACTTCAAAGAAAGAGTGAAACACACGAAATAATGGTAAAAAACAGGTTACAAAAAAGATTAAAGGTGCCCCCCTTTTTGTGAAGATTACAAGTTCATGTGCATTGTATATCTAGGCAATCTCAGGGTGCCCCCTGCTCAGCACGCGAATGCAACCCCAGGGCCAAGGCCGCCTAGGGGGCATGCCTGAGGTTAATTCCCATTCGGCTACTCAGGTGTGTATCCAGGCACAGCTGGATCGTCTGGGTTCCAGACTCACCCGACCATGTCGCCCGACCAGGTGAGTCTTTGTGAAAAAGGTAGGCTGCCAGAGTGGCCCGGGATCACTTGCCTGGCCGGACCGAGAAATATTCTAAATATTTAAAAATATATATGTTTTTTTCTTCCTTTTTTTGGGTAAAGAATTTCAATGCGACCCTGAGGGAAAAGTTGTTTTTAATTAATTTTTTGATAAAGTGTAGTTTTTTTCAGATTTATATACTTTTTTAAATGATTTTTTATGGGACTTTCTTTGTCCCTTCCACGTGTGGGCCGCCTGGGAAATGGGGTGACCCGGGCTGCCTGGGAAAACAGGGTGACCCGGGCCGCCCGACTAGTAGCCTAGGGAAAAAGGTTATTTTGGGGGGTTGGCCAGGCTTGCCTGCATGTTTGTGCTCATGTATCACTAGTTTGATTATTGCAAGTCTCTTGTCATTAATTGTTTTTTTCATGTGGTACCTGTAGCTTGACCTGAACTAGATCGGACGGAACCAAAACCCTCCCAGGGTAGTTGGCCGGAAGCCACACCTGGACAACCCACTTGGCAGGCCACTGAAAATTTTTGGACGGGTTGTTTTTTGCCTTGTCGCCTTGTCTCTTTGGTTTTGTTAAATGGTACTAACTTAATCTTTTGTACTCGTTTTTGAGGGTCCTTCACAACTAGAACAATTTGTCTCATTTATTTTGTTTCAGATCAAATGCAGTTTTCTGTTTCTTGTATGGGCATGTGCTGAGCCAGTCGTTGAATCTGATTCCCTTGACACACCATTGGATGTAAGTGGCCTATGGCTCATTATGGCATGAGGTTGCGGGTTTAAAACTCCGTGCCTCCGCGTAGCGACACCGGCAGGCGTTTACATAACGAATGGTTACTTGCACACCCCCTTGGGCTGACACAGGTAAACTATTACAGACACTGCCTGCGCACCACCTAAGGGTTAGTCCATGGGTGTTGTATGCCGGTCTAGACGTCACGTTGGTTGCTTGTTGTTGTTGCCTTTGGTTGTTCTGCTGATCTCCCCCAACCTACACATCTCACACATTACGTTCATTTCCAATGGTAGTGCAAGTGGTAGAACTCTTCGGGTACATGTTGTAGGTTGCAAGTTCGAGTCGGTCATCGGACGTACAGGGACTCTTGTTTAGATAGGCCTGCCGCCACATAGATTGCACATACATGGCACACTACCCAGATACTGTGTACGGGCACAATCGCAATACACACAGTCTATCACACATTTCATATCACGTAAACTGGTGGGGGGTCATAAGAGCACCCGTCACCAGTATTCACGTCGCAAATGTTCCATGGTGGGGAGCAGGGTCTGCAACGATAAATCGGGTGCAGACAGAATGAACAAATGATAAAGGCTCACAAATATACACATGGCTTCCAGACACATACATACAATACAGAGCACACACAACTATAATGCTAGGGATGGGCGGGGGTCATGATCAACTAATAATGATGATAGGTGTCTCGAGGATAAGTACCCCACATTAAATACACAACTAGAATCTATGGTGGGAGAGTAGAGGGCGTGAGTCACTACTTGGTCTGGTGACCAACTGGTGATGATGATAGGCGTCTCGATGACAAGCAACCCACCTAAAAAATACAACTAGGTCTGGGGTGGCAGAGTAGAGGGCGTTAGTTACTGGTCGGTCAACTTAGGGGCTAATAGGTGATTGCTTGAGCTTGGCGTCCGAAGTTCCTGTACGACAAGGCTCATTCGACTACACTTCCACCAGGGCTGGGTCTCTAGCCCGGGTGCCTATCACTACTGTTCGGTCCAAGTTCCCCTCGATACTGGTACGGTAACGGTCCTGAGTGCTGTTGACATTGAGGTAGAATTGTGGGAATAGGGGATGTGCTAGGAGTATTGACGTGAGCATGGGATGGGAGGTAGCCTCGTCTCTTCAGGGCAACCATGGCTGACTGCTTCCGACGATCAATATGTGCCTAGTACATGGCCTCTACAACACCCTGGGCTTTTTGAGGATTAAAAATGTTGGAAAATATAACGGGGGAAAAAAAAGACACAAAAAAAAAAATCTGAATTTTTGTTTTACCTAGGCTACAAGAGTGGCCCCGCCAGGCAAAAGAATGAAGTATTTTTTATTTTATTTTTTATTTCGAATTTGAAGTATTTTGATGCGACCCCCCCGACAAAAGTTGTTCCATTTTATTTTTTTCACAACATAGTTTGTTTTCAATTTTTTTTATTTTTTATTTTTTGTCGGCACCGTTCTTGTCCTTGCACGGCTGGGCCGCCCGGTGTAGGGCCAAACCCCGGTAGACTTTCGAGCCTTAGTCGACCCCACTGCGGGTCCTAGTTGGCTCGGCCCACCCACGCTCATGCTCAGGGCGCGAGCCGTTCATCCCGAGGTCACCCCCACCGAGTGCTTTGAGATGGATGGGGGTGGGCCATCTCGCGAGAGGGCTTTGACATTGAGGATGCTCAGCCCTCACGCCGGGTGGTAGTCTCGCTGGTCATTCCGTAGCGCTGAATTTTTCTCAATTCTTTGTTGCGTTCTCAAGCAATTGCTCCTTCCAATACGCAAGCAGTCCAGGGGTTCTTTGAGAGTTTTTTTTTTCCTTCTTTTGTGCGCAGGCTAAGCGTCATCCTTAGGCCGCGCACCATTTCCCTGAACCTTGTGTCCCTATGGCGTCATCGGGGTGCGGCAACGCCGTCCTCCCCCTCGCCTCTATGCACCCCTTGAGTCTCATAATTCACTCTCAACTTATTGAAGCAGACCCCTTAGTCTTTTCGGGGCCTTTACATGCATCCACACATGACTTCACATTTCCCTCGGCAAGATTGCACTCTCATTTACAGTCCAAGTCTCAAGCGTAAAAGTCATTTCCGTGGGTTGGCTGTATGCCAAGGGTCCCGTAGCCCCTTTGTCCCTCTTCCCTTTCCTTCTTGGTGCCCAGTTCCTCCCGGCCCTATTCCGCTCAAGGCATCCTTTGCCATCACTCACCTGCACAATCCCACACAAAACAAAAATTCATGCCGTCCCCCGTTGGGGGTCAACACATAGCCCTTCCCACATGCCTATCTTTTCAAACTCCTTGGCTGTTCTTTGTTCCCTTTTCTTTACTCAATCAGCCCATCCTCTTCTCATAGTCATGCAGTTAGGGAAATGGTTGAGTCAAACTGACCTTGCTTTCACTTATACTCTTTCTCGGGTTCGGCCTCTTTTTCCCACTTTCTCAATCGTCCTTTCCTTTGTCTTCTTGGTGGCGCAAGGGACCGACTATCCTCCCCTTGCCCTCTTTCTCCACCAAGTGAGGTCTAATCTCTTCTTACCGTTCGCACCTTGGCAATGTACCAAGTGAGGGGAGAAGGATTAGTCATATGCCAAGGAAGGAGAAGGGAGAGAGGAAAGCAAAAGTGAACGAGAGGAGAAAAAGTGGTGGAGAGAGAGAGAGAGAGAGAGAGAGGGAGAGAGAGAGAGAGAGAGAGGGAAATAGAGAGAGAGAGAGAAAGAGAAAGAGAGGGAGGGAAAAGTAGAGAGAGAGAAGGGATTTCTAATCCTAATCAAGTCATCACCCGTAGTAGCAGCCAAATGTCGGTCACCCATCCCATAGTAAAGGATTAACTAAGCATGAACCGAATACTATAACACATGAACTTGCCAATTGAGAAACTAGGACTAGTGGAAAGCACAGGCACATAGAGGAGAGATCATCTAAGCAAGATCCGGAACATCACAACACACATGAACATGACAATGAAAAGCTAGACTTAGTGGAAAACACATGCACATAGGGGGGAGATCAACTAAGTAAGATCCGGATCACTACATCAAGCATGAACTTGACAATGAGAAGCTAGGACTAGTGGAAATCACATGCACATAGAGGAGAGATCCAACTAAGTAAGGATCGGAACATCACGACATGCATGAACACGACAATGAGAAGCTTGAACTAAAGGAGAGCACATGCACATAGAGGAGAGATCATCTAAGTAAGATCCGGAACATCACAATATATATGAACATGACAATGAGAAGATAGAACTAAAGGAAAGCACATGTCCATAGAGGAGAGATCATCTAAGTAATATTCGGAATATCACAACACACATGAACATGACAATGAGAAGCTAGAACTGAAGGAAAGCACATGCACATAGAGGAGAGAATCTAAGTAAGATCCGGATCATCACAATGTATATGAACATGACAATGAGAAGTTAGATTTAGTGGAAAGCACGTGCACATAGAGGAGGGATCATCTAAGTAAGATCCGGAACGTTACAACACACATGACGAATGAGAAGCTAGAACTAAAGAAAAGCACAAGCACATAGAGGAGAGATCATCTAAGTAAGATCCAAAACATCACAAGACACATGAACATGACAATAAGAAGCTAGGACTAAAGGAAAGCACATGCACATAGAGGAGAGATCATCTAAGGAAGATCCGAAACATTACAACACACATGAACATGACAATGAGAAGCTAGAACTATAGGAAAGCACATGCACATAGAGGAGAGATTATCTAAATAAGATCCGGAACATCACAACACACATGGACATGACAATGAGAAGCTAGAACTGGTGGAAAGGCACATGCATATAGAGAAGAGATCATCTAAGCAAGATCTGGAACATCACAACACATATGAACATGACAATGAGAAGCTAGAACTATAAGACAACACATGCACATTAGAGGAGAGCTCATCTAAGTAAGATCCGAAACATCACCACACACATGGACATGACAATGAGAAGCTAGACCTAGTGGAAATGCACATGCATATAGAAAAGAGATCATCTAAGTAAGATCCGGAACATCACAACACAGATGAACATAACAATGAGAAACTAGAACTAAAGGAAAGCACACGCACATAGAGGAGAGATCATCTAAGTAAGATCCGAAACATCACAACACACATGAACATGACAATGAGAAGCTAGAACTGAAGGAAAGCACATGCACATAGAGGAGAGATCATCTAAGCAAGATCCGGAACATCACA